TTTGAAATACAGCAGGCAATGTACAAAGAACAAGGATACAAGTTTCTCCTCACACCTAAAAGCACATCAGGTAGCGAACATTGTGCTTTGATGATAGCGCTCACTGTTTATGTGTCTGTTGATGGGCTTTACCACTTCAGAGCAGATCATCTTCTCATCTCAGGAACTAGATGAAAGACACTGCCTGCAGTTGACATAACTACAGCCAGGCTGAAGAAACCGAGTTGAATCTGACTTTGCTCTTAAGATACAAATACAACACAATTTAACGTTTTATCTGATATTTTCAACAACCCTGTAATAATGAGACTAGCTGGATCAATAATAATGGAGAGATTTTTTAGTAATCCATGAAATGCTTACCTAGGCCTAGATTAATGTCATCCAGTTGTACCAAAGCATTTCTGCTAGAGAGATATATTAGAAACTTTCCACAAGTGCTAAAAGTCAAACCAAATAGCAAAACAGTACATTTGAAAGATATTTAAATTAACAAAAAAAGAATGTAATGTAATAGTACAAATGTAAAACTTAGCTCATTTCATCCTGTTCTTCCTTGTTTGTAATTGTGTCTAAAATGTGACTTATTCATTGTTATTGCTCAAGATAGATAAGTGGCTTCCTATAGATGCGTATAAGTACTGCAGAGAGAATCTATTTTTGGACAGGAAAATAGAGCTTCCGAAATAGTTTCTGAAATGCTAACAATAGATATTTTATGTGTTATTTCTAAAAAACATAGTTTGGTTCTTTTAATTTCACTGCACTGAGGTGTTTGCATGTATAAGAAACAACAAGCAAAGCCACATGCAGGAGCGGATCTGTGAGATGTAGGCTGTGGCTGGCCATTTCTCTGCTTTGACAGACCGCAAAGCATGTTTACTCAGAATGCTCATGACTTTGGGCATCAACAGGATATGTCACTAGCGTACAAGAAGCCTCCGCAGGCTAAATTTAGCAAAAGCAGTTAATGTGATAGATTTTGGTTTTGCCTTCTTGGATGTGCACTCATTTAGTTCAATCAATGTCTAGTAAACAACACAACTCAATCCCATGCAAGCACAATTGTTGAGTTGTATTTACATCCTTTGTTATAAAATGATAAAGTTATGTTGTGGTTACTATTCAAAATAAATCAATTCGATTTCTGTTACTGTTCAAACAATGATATTCACTATCGTACTCGGTATCAGGTTTGCTCACCGCTAGTGGTGGGTGAAGGGCCCTAAAAAACGAATCTACAAACCAAACAAACCAGACATTAGGTTTGACTGACCTTGATGACCATGATGAATGTCACAAGTAAACGTGTGTGAGTTGCGTAGCCCAACATTTAATCCAGGTCATCATAAGAAACTTAAGATATCCCCCCTTTCATGACTAGATTTAGAGTCCAATACTTCCCTGAGTGGAGATAGCTGTTTCCCCCTGTTTCTAGTCATTGTGCTAAGCTAAGCTGCTGACTGTAGCTTCATATTAGCAGTACGCACATGAGGCTGATAGCAGTCTTTACATTGAACTCTGCAAGAAATAAGTATATTTCTCTGGAAAAAACCTTTTTTTTATGTCGACTGCAAGCTGTGAAAACTAAGATCAGTAGTTAGCACGAAGATTTGAAACCACATTGTGTGTGTGTGTGTCTGTGTGTGTGTGTGTGTGTGTGTGTGTGTGTGTGTGTGTGTGTGTGTGTGTGTGTGTGTGCGTGTGTGTGTGTGTGGGTGTGTGTGTGTGTGTGTGTGTGTTGACTCCTCTGAAACTAAAGACAAAGATAGCCTCTGTGGTTTCAAACCCATTCTGACCAAACTTTTCTGAAGTTTCCATCTATCATCTTTTCTTTTTGTTGTATGCGTGTAAGCATCAACCAAAGACTCTCTTGTAAATTGCCTATTTATTTTAACCTTGGCAAAAACGGGGGGTTACGTATTGTAACCCTAGTTATATAAACACAGGCGGAGCCCTCTACTCAGGGCACTGTCTGTTCTATTCCGCTCGCTGAAGAGAGGTATAGGATGATAGTCAGGAGGCGAGGCCTCCTTTTATACGGTGTGATGCGCGCGCATTCAGGTAGGCCCGCCCTGGGCCGGCTACGTCTATAGAAGTCTCAGTGGAAGAATGCACCCGGGATAAGGTAGTACCCATAGAGTCCAGTAGAGGGCGGAGCCTGTGAGAGATATAACTGTACAGATCAGTACACAATAGATATATGATTCTGTAATATATGTTAAATTCCTTTCTTTCTTTTTAACATCCATTACAGAGAGACAGGAAGTCCAAGAGTGTGGATGTGATGCATTAAGTATCAGCCAAGCTTGCAACATCTTGTGTCACGTTCCTAGTACACCCATTCATTTCTTTAAAGTTGTTTCTTTTTTAACTAAACAATCTTAATATTTTGTTGAAGTATAAGTGTCCTTAGTAATTTACCATCTTATCAACAGGAGCTAATGTTGTTTAAACGTAAACGACAAATGAGTCATGTATAGAGGCTGTTTGAGGGGGAGGGGGCCTACATTCATACAAAGCAATTTTTGTGAATAATACAATTCATATATGGCTGGTGATAACTTCTGTGGAAGCTGCAGCTAGTAAATCTATCTAGAATTAACTTGGTATCACATTTGCTGAAACGGTCACTATATCCTGAAAGTCATGCATGAGATAGATCACCTGATGAATATAATTATGTTCCTCTGCCTCCCCCCAGTGCTTCTAGAGGCATTTGCTAGGTAGCAGCGCCTGAATGAAAACAACACTTGCATCATTTATTCTTGACAGAGTGGTAGGCGGAAACCTTTGAGCTAGATAGAGAAAGTGACAGTGTTAACCTCCAGAGTTTAAGTGTTTGATAGGGGCATTTGCATTTGCATTGATAAGAGGTTACATTTAAATCAAAGTCAAATAAAATCCATATTGATTGTGAAGAAATATTTATTTATATATTATATATTAAGTTGTAGTGACCACTATTTAACTAGGGTACATAATTCACGCATGGAACTACAGGTTGGGGGTATTGTTTCCGCCCGGACATATATGTTGACGGTACCTCCGGGGTACCTACAGTGTGTGTGTCCCTTTCACTTTCTCTTACTCTTCTCGGCTCGACCCGACAGCATGTCGATTTCTGCTCCTCAATAAAGCCAGATTTGTACCTCCGATGCACCGCCTCCGACTCCCTTCTCTCGGCACTACATTGGTGACCCTGACATAAGTCTCGCGAAGGATCCGAGACTGCCTCGAACACGGCAAAAAGCGCAGCTTTTCTCGAAATGCCGGAGATTCTTGGAGACGTCCGTGGCTGCCTCGTGCGCTCGGACTGAGGCTCGGTGCGCCCCACGGAATGGCTGGGAACGTCGCTCACCATTCCCGCTTCGTCTCGGCGCTGGAGGGCAGCAAGCCTTCCTACTACGAGGGGACGATGCACGACCTGCTAGGTATGGAGGGACCCGTCTTCTGCCTCGTGGAGCTGGTTCTTCGGGACATGCTGCATGTCCGGGCTGCGCTAGCTGACTCGGCTAGTGTTGAGCCCCGCGCTTTGGCCGGAGATGCTGGCCGGTTCCTCCTGGCCGCCCGGCGATTTACCCCTGAGGTGCTTGCCACTGCATGCTGCAGCACCTTCCCTGGTAAGGGCACGCCGCCTAGCAGAGGCTCCGGGGCCGCCGACGACGTCAGCGACTACCGGCCGTCGAGACCGGCTGGCCTCGACGGCTAACGGCAGCTAGCCACGACAGCTAGCCACGACAGCTGACGGCTAGCTGCTACCAACGGCTAGCGACGACTGCTAGCAACAGCTGACGATGTCTAGCAGCTACCAGCGGCTATCAACATCCGTCTGTCTTTTTTTTTGTCTTTGTTTTTTGTGGTGCCGGAGAGGAGGTTCGATCACGTCTGGTCGGCCTCGTGTGGATCCTCTCACAATTTCGCCCACCTGTTTGATCGTGGACAGGACGACCTTTTGAGTTTTTTTCTGGTGCCTGGGAGGAGGTTCGACCATGTCTGGTCAGCCTCGTGTGGACCCTCTCGCTGTTTCACCACCTCGACGGCGGTTTCGGACGTCACACACGCCTTCTTCGGCCCGTGGGTGGCGCGCTTCTGGACCCCGTCTCGCCTCTTCCCTCGCCTCGGCGGTTCCGGACGTCGCCCATGCCTTCATCGGCCCGTGGGTGGCGCGCTTCGGGACCCTGCCTGGCCTCACCTCTAACCGCGGCTCACGGTTCGCCTCGACGGCGCCCCATCTGGCCTCTCCCCTGTCCACGGCTCCTTCGTCCCGGGGACACGGCTCCTTCCTCCCGAGGACTTCGTGCCCGCCGCCGCTGTGCCTTCGCCTGCGGCCGGGCAGCGCTCCTCCCTGCTGGGGACCACCGGGTTTTTCTCGCCTGTCCCCTCGTCGCTACACGGCGACCCTGCTTTCTGCGGCCCCCTGACGTCGGCCCGTTCCGGCCCGTTCCGGCCCGCCCCCCACCATCCGGTGGGGATGCCCTCACCCTCGTTGGGGCCCCTACCCTCTTCTGCGGCCCCCTGAAGACGGCCCGTTCCGGCCCGCCCCCCACCCTCCGGTGGGGATGCCCTCGCCCTCGTTGGGGCCCCTGCCCTCTCCTGCGGCCCCCCGACGATGGCCCGTTCCGGCCCGCCCTCCGGTGGGGATGCCCTCGCCCTCGTTGGGGCCCCTGCTCTCTCCTGCGGCCCCCTTCCGACGGCCCTTTCCATGGCCCGGCCCTCGCCTGCGGCCCCGCCCTCCTCGGCCCCTGTGGTGCTTCCTCCCGGACGCGAGGATTGTGTCCATGGTTGAATTCTGGGGGGGCTTCTGTAGTGACCACTATTTAACTAGGGTACATAATTCACGCATGGAACTACAGGTTGGGGGTATTGTTTCCGCCCGGACATATATGTTGACGGTACCTCCGGGGTACCTACAGTGTGTGTGTCCCTTTCACTTTCTCTTACTCTTCTCGGCTCGACCCGACAGCATGTCGATTTCTGCTCCTCAATAAAGCCAGATTTGTACCTCCGATGCACCGCCTCCGACTCCCTTCTCTCGGCACTACAAAGTAAAATATTCTTGGGTGAAAGTACATTTTTTTTATTCTAACTAAATGTTTTTGTGTTTTCCTTTCATGTTTCAGGAACCGGCTTACGGTCTTTTGGTGATTTACAGACTGACGATGTATTTCTGCTTCTGCCGTCTGTGGTCCCGGTTATTAGTGTGATTGTTATAGCCATCCTTATTCACGCCATCAAGAAAAACAAGTGTGATTATTGCCATGACAAGGGTAAGTATAGTCCCTCTCTATATCTCACATTAGCTGATGCTAATATCAGTATTTATAAAAACTAGGTTATCCTTATCGATTTCTAAATTCCTTTTGTTCATATTGTAGCTGCCGTGTCCCTGCAAGAAAATGTTGCAAAAATAAATGTAAAGGTTAGTTCACTATTGCAAAAAATGTATCATGCATTTTGATCCGTTTTGACCAAGTTCGTTCTTGTCTGTATTACATTTCCTCAGAGAAATGAAGACCCATGGATGTATTCTACTGTCGTCTTTACCGTCATGGAAACCAGCATTGGTGTAACGAGGGAGGGAAGAGCAGCAAAGAGAGAGAGGATCTACGCTGCTGCCAAAGCTTTATGAACGTATTAGCTTGTCAGAAGTGGACTCCGCTAGGGCTGACACATATTATTTTTGCTCACAGATCGGACAGCAAGCGGATAATGAGATTTATCCTGAATTTGACAATTGTATTGCATTAAATAAGCAGACTGCAGCTTGCCTGTTTGAGTTTTAAAGCTAAAAGCTGTTATACCATGTGTGATTTAGCTTGCATTGAGACTATGATGTTTATCTGGAATATGATGTTGTTCATATGCTTACATGTAAAAATACTTGATTAAAAATAAAAGGGCATTTTGTTGGTGTATGTTGGATTTCAAATGTTGTGAAATAGTGATACAAACCGATATTAGCGAAGGCCTGTTGTGCATCTAGGCCGCAGGTACACTGCTTCTTCACCATCATGCACCCCTTGGTTTTTATCATCTTGGTCTTTTTAAGTCCATTGCCTAAAAAACCTACTCAAATATGAATATTTCCTACATAAAAATTCCACCAAATGTGATAAGAAATACTAAATATGATTTGAATGCAAGTGTGTCAATTGTCTCTCCAGAGAAGACTTTAATTGTTTTCTTCATTGACAGTGAAAGGCAGAATAATGCTTCTAGTTCACAGGAAGCATGACAGGAAATGTTACTGCAGTCATAATTAAATCATTGCTCTTTGAAATCATTACGCAAGAAGCCTCTTTAGGTTTGACAACTTTAACTTTGGGTGTTTGTTGTGAGAATGATTCATAATTTAAGCAAGCCATGTTGGTGCATGAAACACAGGTGGTCTCCTGTATGAACACCAAACACCAGGGGGCACTGAAAGGTGAAAAGCCGTAGATTTTGATTTATTTGTAAGAGTAAGGATAAAACGTTAGCTAGAGGAAACTAATAAAATAACCTCAAATGTATTTATTCTGCTTATTCACTTATATGTGTACAATATAACCACATTTCCATACACTAATATTTTTAATGCAGATGATATATTTCATGCACAGTTCCACCCTCAAAGGATGAAAGACAGCAGCTTTTTTTGTCAAGGAATCACATCAGCAAACACAGGTATTGTTAAATGAATACTAACTAAAACAGTATTCAACACAGCCCTATTCTACACTGCTGTCATACTGTGAACTACAACACATTAACAAACAACCTGCCTAGCTGGTATTAAACATGATCAAAATTTACTTTTCTTCTCTGCTTCTGAGTCACAGCATATAGAGGACACTGGCTGTTTTCTCACATTTATGTCAGACAACTCACGTGTTTCTTAATATGTTTATTAGAAGCAGCATATAGTTTGAGTTTGGCGTCTAGGCTCGGGCCTCATCACTCCACAGATGTACATAGAACATTGAGTGATGATTAGATAACTATCCCCCGAGCCTACAGGTGGAAGCTGGGGTGGAAGCTGGGGTGGTGGTGGGTCAGGTAAGCAGCAGGAACATGAAACACAGCAGCAGGAACATGAACGCAGCATTAGCAAGTGAACACAGCAGCAGCAGCAGCAGCAGCATAGCGAGGCAGAGACAGGAAGACCTGGCAGCTTAAATAGAGCGGCATGTTTAGGAGAATGTGTTTGGTTGGTTGTAAGAGGGACGAGGTGCGTCACGTGTTAATGTATCATTGGTGCTCGAGTTGACTGCCTGAACTAGCTCGCAGGCTTCGCCCCATTTATGTCTGAAAGAAAAGCTGCCTGGAGCATTTTTAAATATGAGGTTCAGCTTTCCTCTTGCTGTTGTGTTGTTTATTTTAGTTCCTCTTGTAACTTTGATTTCTTTATGAGATGTGTTCAAAATGACAATTAGAACAGTGTTTAATGATTTAATGGAGATATATATGAACCCGGCCTCACAAGAAAAAAAGACCCTTTACTGTACCTCTGATTTGCCACTCAAGCTGCTGGGTCCCATTTATTAAGGGGACACATTTTTATTATTTGCAGCCACATACAACAATGGAACAAAATGCATTTTTTTGTATTCAATCAACAGGTTATACATGTAAGCATCAAAAGAAGATAAAAAGTAAATCAATATATACTTGATATGCAAAACACAAGCTAATTACAACATGCTATAAAACTTGCACTTCAATTACGTTAAATTAATACAATACTCTATTTCAAATATCAGCTAATATCTCCTTACGGTGCTCTAGCTGTCCGCTCTATGTGTGTGCTGAGAAATAATCTGGTATACTGCCCTGGGCTAGCCGTACAACGCTGGTCCAACAAATCACCAACTGGCACTCATGCATGTGCACAGGACAGGGAAAGGAATCTCTGACTCCACTTTTAAAAAGCTAACATTTCAGAATGCCTTGGCGGCAGCGTAGATCCTCTCTCTCTTTGATGCTTTTTTGTCTCTCGTTCCACCAATGCTGGTTTTCATCACGGTGTAGATGACAGTAGAATAAATCCATTGGTCATTTTTCTGCGAAAATATATAGCAGATTATGTGAAAAACTGAAATAGATGAATTGTCCATTTTGTGTGTATGTTGATCTTACCTTTGCATTCATGTTTGCAACATAGTCTTGCAGGGACACAGCATCTTCAAAAGGAAAAATAATTAGAAAATAGATAAGCATGCACTTGTTTATAAAATAACTGATATTATCATCATGTTATATAAGGTACATTTAATTACCCTTATTATGGTCACATTCACACTTGCTTCTCTTGATGGCGTGAATAAGGACGGATATAACAATCAGACTTATAGCCGAGATCCCACACAGCAGATATATGTTGTAAGTCTGTAAATTACAGAGGGAATCTGAAGAAAAAACGAGAGGAATTTACTTTACAATACCACAAATATTTCCTTACAATCATTCTGGATTTTATTTGACTTTTTATAAACTTGTAAATATGCAGATGTCCTAATAAAATGACACTTACTTGGGTTTCTTATGACTATCTTATGATGTACAGCAAAACATAAATACTGTAACCCTTAGAGAATTGTATTTCCTTTCCTGCCTATTAGTAGGATATGAAGATGCCAAATATAATGTAAAATATTGCCCAGAACATCTTGAATAATTATATTTAATGATAGGTGAGACCATAAAGGTGGAAACTTCTGGGGAATATATTGTATATCAAACAATTTTGAATATAAATATTTTTCAAACTTAAAAGCACCTAACCCAGCAGTAAAAGTGAGAGAAAAGGTTAAAACATATAGCAATACTTTTACCTTCAGTTTTCAGTTTTGTTACATCTCCAAATAATATCTCTCCACATGAGGCCACAGCACAGTAGTAAGTCCCGGCATCAGCGGAGTTGAAGTTCTTTGAAAAGCAACTCTTCTGAGTGTCCGGTAACTTCTCACATTCCTCTTGTCCCCTTCCATCAGTGTAGATGAAGCTAGGACGAGATTTATCTGAACCGGCTCTGAACCAGAACACACGGATGTCTCCTGGACATGTTTTATTCTCAGATTTAGAGAGGACCGAACACTGAAGGGTCATCGAGTTTCCTGGAGGAGCTGGATCAGATAATGTCGGCCACTGAACAGAATATTTTGAAGTCCTCTGAGTGTTTCCTGAAAAATACAAAACTGTTTTAAAAAATGACATTTGTAAAAGTATTAACATGAATCTGCTGATATTTAGCAAATGTGGAGCTGCTTTATTAGTAGAGATTCCCTCAAAGTGAAATTAGATTATTTAAATATTGATTAGAGCTTCAATAAAGATAAAGCAGAGCATAGAACGTAATTACCAAGTTTTAACCATATATTTAAAGATATGGTGCATGGCAGAATTGGCAACACTTTTAGTGTTGAGTGGTTAACACTGTAACTTTCTCAAAGATATACAACATAGTTGTTGGTAAATAAATCAACATCCAAAGTAAATACAAATATCTGAAAACAAATAGAATAATTTAATCTTAATTGTATGTCAAACTGAATTTTTATTTTTATTTGTGTTAAAATGCAACAGATCATTTAAATGTTACTTTACTTAAACATTACCAAAGTGCAGCTTTGGATCCGACCTGAAGCATTTACAAAACTCATTCTAATGAACTAGATCACATTTACCTTTTAGTAACAAATATGTCCCACTCCATTCAGGATTGCTAAAACGTTCTGTGATTAAGCAGTGATACATTCCTTCATCTTCTGGGATTGTCCTCAGAATCGTCAGGTTGCTTAAATTGTTATCGCTTTTTACCTCCAATCTTGTGTCAGAAAACTCTGGTGCAAACTCAGGTTTTGTAAATTTGATCAGTTTCACAATTAATGTCAGATTCTCTCCAGCATTTTGCTTGAACCAGTAGAGCTGTTTAATGCCATACTCAATAGTAGGGAGAGCACATGTGAAGGTCACAGATTCACCAAGAGGAACTGTAGTCACTGGAACCAGCGTATCTGAAATAAATGACAGAATACAAACCGTGAAACATTAAATAACAATTAGTGTACAATATTTATCATGCACAAACAAAGTTTAGTTACATTATGTATCTTGTGTGCATGGACATTCTTAACAGGATACTTGCACTTACAGCCTTGGTGAAGAACAAGCAGTGTTACCCATAAAAGCAGCATCTTGATATTGTATTTTGTTAGAGAACTCTTTGGTATTTGAGTGGTTTTAAAGTAGAAGTCACATGGTCACGAGTATGTATGTCAAACTGTCAAATGCATCTGATTGGTTTTCACGGAATAAAGGTTCAAAGTTGCCCTTCCTGTAACGCTGGTCCCTCCCTAGTCTTTTTGAAGCATTATTCTTCTCAATTCACCAAAGGCATTTGAGCACTTTCAATAAAGATTAGAGGTAGCATATTGCCTATGCAGTTATACTTGAATATATCGTAAACCTTTGCTGACAGTATTGGACAACACATTAAATGATAATAAATACAACTGAGGAAATTACAAGATACCATAATACAGTTCTAAACTGTCTAGACCAGTCTGACAACCTTTCTAAAATCTGCTCCAATTCACATCACTTAGACTTAGAGCACTATTGGATTGGCAGCCTCTCCACATTAATGATATTGCCTACATGTTCATCTGCAATATTTTAAGATTGCGCATACATATAGTATTTTTACATTCACTAAGCAGGTTGAAAAACAATACAAAATGTATTTCCTTGCAACTATCCCTTCACTGCATATCATTTTGAATCCTATGGTTAGTTCTGAGTAGACAGCCTTGATGGCCAAAGCGTGGAGAAATGACCCTGTCTGTCACTGAAGCTGCTTTATTTTTGCTCTGCTTGTGAATGAAAAACGACCTAAAGATTTACAAAGAGGTTTTCTGATGCTATATATTAAAAAAATGATTGTGTAGGAAGTTGTGTTTGACAAAAACAGAGCAGTTTACTCACATGAACAATGAATGTTGGCGCTCCTTGTCGGCATATTGAAGGCTAAGCGAATGCACTGCATATTTGTTTATATCATTTATCATGTCCCATGTACCATTAGTTGACATTTTACAAAACACCAAACCTTTCAACATACCAGTAGTAAATGTTGATGGTCAAATAAGAGACATATTGTGTATTTTAAGAAACACGATCCAATTTGTAAACGTCATAACATTACATCTCATTAAGCTGACGATTTTTATCGATCAAAGCTTATTTATTTGTTCTTCACGCCATCAACAATATTTCCAACCCTTTTCTGCTTTAAATGTATTCCTGTATGTATGATTAAAAAGTGTGCTTTCTGCCATCTTTTGTAAAAGGCAAATGGTTCAATAAACTGAAGATTTTCAATTAATTTACATTAAATAAATATTACCTTGAAAATCTGGCACCATTAACATTTCAATATAACTGCATTGCTTGTAATGCAACAAGCAAACAACAAACAACAGCCTATATCGGTCTCTTAGGTTTAATCCTACCACATTGTTGTTGCGGCTGAATTAGAAATGCATTTATTTATCTTTTTTGATTAGTGTACACAGAACATATAACCTGCCATTTGCCATAGTGAAAACACAGAGCAGCCATGTTAAATACTGTGCAAGCCAGCGAATCTAACCTTCACGTAATTTCTGATGACCCGCCCCCTCTGCCTGTCACTTCAGCAGGAAGAACACAGCGTGCAAAGGAGGGCTGTCAAACCACCCATCCTCGACACATACACACTTTGCAGAGAGCTTGTTAGAGGAAGCAGCAGATCAACAGCCTCAGATTATCACAGGAACACATTCATCCTGACACAATTTCTGACCTGCATATTTTTATCTGAGGGAAGAAACCAAGGAAAGAAAAAAAACAAAAACAAACTGATGGCTATTTACAAAGCGATTAACATAAAACAATCCTCGGTCATTATACTGTGCATTCTTACACTATTGACACTTAGTAGGATCACCTAACAATATAATTCAGTCGAGTAAAACTCCCCGCACTCTGGCATCATCATTTACCAAAAAGAAAGAGTTAGGGTTTCTTGACAACAAGGTGTATAGAGAATATAATTAGAAACTTAGCAACTTATCTATGTCCAGAACATGTCACCATACATGTACTAAACATATTCTGTGAACTCATAACTACAGTTTCCTGTAGTTATATTTCTAAACTAAATTCAAAAGTAAAAGTCCCACAAAAGGGTAAAACTCAATTGACAATTGAACAATTCAACCCCATCTAACATTATTTAACTTTTTCTGCAGTAGCAACATGTACCATCCGTAATCCTAAAACCAACGAGGCGGCAGTGGATGAATCAACTGACCTGGTAAATATGTTTGTAACTTTGAAACTAAGCACCAAATATGGAGGCAAAAAGCATCCTTTTTCTGACTTTAGACTAAAACATTCAAACACTAGACTTGGTTTGGATGAAGTGTTTTTCATTTTACAGGCCTAATATTTAAGGAATGTATGTTCAATAGACTATATGATTTGCAGGATGGAGACGAAGAGGCGGTAAACTATGCAGCACTGAATTACTCCACAAGAAAAGTGAAAACAGTGAAGCAAAAGCAAGACTTACCACAGGAGTGTGTGTACTCTGCTGTGAGAGCAAACCACACACAGCACCACGCGCCCGTATGAGCTTTGGCTTAGCTCAGCTTTGCATGTTTTTAACAAATGTTGTGCTGTTAATTACTTTGCTTTATATTTTGCTTTTAAATAGCTAGTTGTTGATGTGACTGAGAATGGCTCAAGTTGAAAATAATACACTTTTCAAACACCCGGAGAGAATATGCGGGTAATCAATGTTCAGCAAAAAAAACGATGCTGCATCTAAGATAAGCTATTCATTTTATTACTGTGCATTGTTCTTGTGGATGCAAATGATTGAAAATGTGTCCCCTTAATAATCATCACCCAGCAGCAAATGTGGGTTTAAAAGAAAAAAAAACAAGACCTTTTAATGCCCCCTGGTGTAGGGTACGGAGATGAGCAGAAAAGAGAGAGAAAATAGACTCTTCCTGCTTTCCTCTACCAAGTTGATAAAGACAAAGTATAGATGTTTGACAGGCATTCATTAATATCTGTGTGTTTGACAAAAAAGTTCAACATACAAAAATGGAACAAAATGCATTTTCTTATTACGAAGGGGGTATTTGTTTTAAGATCAAATATCAACAATCTTTCTTGAGAATCGCTGACTCCACATTTTACTCAGATCAAAAAGCCTTGGCAGCCGTGTAGACCCCGGGGCCAGTTTCCATCACGGTGAAGACGACAGTAGAATAAATCCACGGGTCTTCATTTCTCTAATAAAATATATTACAAATTATTTGTGATGACAAACCTGATCGAGTTGCATCATAAGCCTTTTGCAATGTTGATCTTACCTTTACATTCCTTTTTGCAACATTTTCTTGCAGGGATACAGCAGCTACAATATGTAAACAAGATAAAAACAGATAAGAATGACCTAGTTTGTAAAAACAATGATATTAGCATCATCTAAATAATGTGTTATTCAGTGAGGTAACTTATTTTACCTTTATTATGGCAATAATCACACTTGTTTTTCTTGATGGCGTGAATAAGGATGGCTATAACAATCACACTAATATCCGAGACCACAGACGGCAGAAGCAGAAATACATCGCTTGTCTGTGAGACGGTTCCTGAAACATGAAAAGGAAAATATAATAACAATTAGTTAGAATAAAAGAAAATGTACCACCACCAAAGAAGATTTGAATTTACTGTCATTATTTTCCTTACAATCACTCTAGATTTGATTTGAATTTGACATCTAATCAACACTTAAAATGCAAACGTCCCTATCAAACACTTAAACAACAGTGACTTAAACCACTTGGATTGATCATAAGCTAACCTATGATATATACAGCAATCGATGTTTGAACCTGCACGCCTTCATTTCCTTCCTATAATTAAATAACAACAGATATTGACTTGGACGTCTATAATAATTTTATAAGATGGGATGGTACATTGGCAAAAAACGTTTTGTAACTAATATAGCCAATAGGGAATATACTGAACATTCCCTGTTGGCAGTGGGCTCTTTCAGCAGGATAATACAAGCTGCCACACAAACAATAAAATGGTTCAGGAATGGTTTGAGGAACACAACAACAAGTTCAAGGTGTTAACTTGGCCTCCACATTTCCCCGATCTCAATCCGATTGAGCATCTGTGGGATGTGCTGGATAAACAAGTCCGATCCATGGAGGCCCAAATCTCACAACTTACAGGACTTAAAGGATCTGCTGCTACGTCTTGGTGCCAGACACCACAGCACACCTTCAGAGGTCTGGTGGACTCCATGCTTCGACGGGTCAGGGCGGTTTTGGCCGCAAAAGGGGGTCTTACACAATATTAGGCAGGTGGTAATAATGTTATGGCTGATCAGTGTAGTTGTAGCTCATACTTCATCCCCCTATATAAACACACTTATAGACTTAATATTAATAAACATTCAAATGAAATTTAAATAAGAATTTAAAAACGTACTTGTCTCCACTGTAGTTCCTTCTCCAAACAGGATCTGTCCACATGTAGCCACAGCACAGTAATACGTCCCGGTATCAGAGGACTTGTGTATAGTTTTGGACAGACTGAAGACACAACTGCGTTCCTTTTGTTCCTCACTGTGAGTGTAAAGGATGCTTGGATGGGATTTTCCTGATCCAGATCTGAACCAGGAAACATTGTGTTCACCTGGACACTAATCTGCGCTTTCTTTGTTTTTGGAGATAAGTGAACACTCCAGAGTCACTGTGTCGCCGGGCTGGACTGACTTGGTCTTCGGACTTTGCTTCACGTAGACAGATCTCCTCTGATCTCCATGATTCAGTAAAAGAAAACATAACATTTTATATCAATTATTTGTATGACATGAGACTTGACATAATAACTGAAAGTAATATATATTTACCATTCACAGCCAAGAAGATGCCAATGCCAAAACTCTGTGAATACGTCGATCCAGTGAGACAGAAAGCTTCGTCCTCTTTTCTGGCATTTCTGATTGTGAAAAGATAATGAGTATCCTCTTTTGTTGCTTTGAACCGTGTATCTAAAAAAGGTTCAGTAACTGTTAGTTTGCCAAAAATCAAGTTAAAGACTGGCTGGGCCATTTGTCCAATAGACTGCTTGAACAGAGAACGTAGGTTGCCTGTGTAAACTGGACATTGAAAAGTAAAATTTCCACCAACTTCTACCACAGCCAAAGAGATAAGGTGAGGATCCTCTGCCGATTCAATCAGAGCTAAAGAAAAAAGACAAAGAAAAGGTTTATTGGAGGAGATCATCTTTAAGATCATCAAATGATATTGTCTTTCATACAGGAGTAAATAATTGCACTTACACGTCGTACAAAGAAGAATCAAAGCAGCCAGTTGACCGATCATTGTGGTGCAGCTCTGTCGTCTCGCACGACTGATGTCTTTCCATCCAAATGAAGGTTTGTTCACAAGAAGATCAACGTCTACAAAGTAGCAATTGTAGTGATTGGCTGAAATGTATACAATTACCTCCCCCCTACATTTAAAACAATTTTCTTTCGATCAGAAATCTCTATATTCTGAGATTTTCTTTTTTCAAAGAAGCCCCTTTATTTAGACAATAAAATATTGTTTCAGTTTTGGGTGCTTAGCTAAGAAGTAGAGGACCTATTTAAACAGCGAAACCCTATTGACACATTTTACGAATGTGGTTTTAACAGTGGCGAGCCGTGAGCTTTATACCTAGGCCCTCTGACCCCCACCAATTCCCTCGAAAAAAAGAAAAAAAAAGAGTTATTACGTCACAGCGTATACTTCAGCGGAATATCAAAACAACGGCCCAGGGTGCAAAACGCATCAATGACAGCGACCCTCTACCACACAAAACAACACCTGTGAAGCCAATTTGTGTTCTTTGACATTGAAAATGATATTGCATTGTGTTTGTTACTTTCGTTGCAGTTGTATGTCCTAAGTGTAATTTGGCATGCTTTTATTTTGAAGGCGAGTTCACGCTGTTGACAGGAAGTTGTTGTTGCTATGGAAACAAGAAAAGTTTCACAGCGGGCGGAACTTGTCATTAAGTCTGCGATAATAAAACCCACCCATTTAGAGGGAAGATATGATTGGTCAATTGTACTGTCATTTGACATTACTCTCTCGTTCAGTTACTATAGCGGGCCCTCTGTGAATCGCAGAGAGGGCCAGACGAGCTTCTTTCATGTAACCCTTCACATTCAACAGAGACTGAACAGGCAGATTCGAAGGATTTATTTCTTTGGAAATGTTATTTTAAATACAATTAAATCAAGTTTTTTTTCGGTAAAACTAATGAAAAATATAACAAAAATAATATTAAAAAAATATATATTTAAAAAAAATATATATTTTTTAAATGTTTTTAAATATTATTTTTTAGAATATCTTAGGCCCTCACAGAGGGCCTAGAGGGCCCTGACGGCTCGCCACTGGGTTTTAATTATACCATCATGAGAACCAAAAAACAGACACAGACACATTACTTCAGTGTCACTCTATTCAACAGACCGATGGCTGTGGTTAATAGTGTAACACACCAGGAAAGCAATGTGGGAACATGACGACTGCTAGCTAGCAAACACATTTGTCTTTATCAAGTACATTGCAGATTCCATATGGTCACAGAAAACTAATTCTGTAGCTTAATAAAATGTTTGGTTTACATACTGGATATACTTACTGAGCAACAGCAGTGAGTTGGATGGCTCCACACACCAAAGACATTGTTGGAGTTGCTGAATGCTGTATTGTTCACTCTATGTAGGCTAGCTGTTTTGTTCCATAACATTACAATGGCCACAGTGTAGGTGGTAGAAAGCTGTAGGGGAGAGGTGAGAGGAAATATCACCAAAACCAAGAGATGTGAAGAACTTACAGGTTAAAGTATGTGTTGAGATAGTGCTCTCTAGATCATTGTCATGTTCTCAAGTTGAACAATATTGTAGAGTATCACTGATTTTTTGTTTTTAAACACCAAAAACTCCCTTGCTTTATGGGCAGTGAACTCCAAAGCATGCCTTCATGTATTTTAGATTTGAGTACTGAACGTTTTTTCTTTTTTGCCCTTATATGATTTTGTGCATCCTGTATTTCTGTAAACTTTATAATCCTACAACCAGTCTTGACCATTTGTGATTCTCTAATGTTCCCAAATAGATCAGGTTTTAACCCTAAAAATTACTTTTTAACAAGAGACATTTCAATCCATTATAGCATTATAAAGTAAAACCAGAAACATAAGGGACTAGGCCATGCAATTTTTTATTGCAAATAACCATGTTATGGTTACACCTGTGGACAATTTCCGCTGAGAAAGAAGTGGTGTATAATATTTTACACAGCATACATGTAATGTTTCATTTTTGCAAAGTGCTTTTAAGAGGGAGAGACCGAAGCATGGCGACAAAACACATGGGGAATATTTTGTGATTCACACACAATTGATATTTATTTGCAAAAGACAATGATTGTTGTTCTAAATACAAAATAGAAAGTCAGAAGTCAAGTACTTAATAGAATTGAGCACTCCACCTTTCAGATCTCACATCCTTTGTAAAGACCTTGGGCTTCAGAACAAGGAGCAAAGCCACATGCAACAGCTACACTGAGAGTCATGCGTTGTGGTGGGCCATCTCTCCGCCCTTTGACCAAGCATCAAGGCTGTTACTCAGAACTATGGGCTTCAACAGGATGTGTAGTGAAGTGAGAGATACATGAGACTTCAGCATGCTTCATCATTGTTTTAGTTTTACACATGCTCATTTAAAGTAAAAACATGTCTATCTCAAGATTATTTCTAAAGATGCAAAAGCATCTAATTTATAATCTAACTGTATTTATTAATTAAACATTCAAATAGACAGGCTGCCATTATATCACCAAATTAGATCACGGCTAAAATTCGACTGAAAGACGGGGGTCGAACCAGGAAATGATGGGCACCTCCCCTGACTAACTGCAACTACAGATAAAAGGCAATAACTTGCAGTAAGGTTAAATGAAAAAGGATCATCACATAGTGCGACTAGTGGTATTCCACTTGAAACATAGAAAAATATCAGCAGTGCAAGCCCAGCTTCCTGAGGTTTATAGAATGAGAAAGGTACAAGCGCCCCTTTGTATTCACACCTCAGTGTGAAGCCCAACCACAGCCACGCTGAAGTTTCCATGCGTCATCTGGTTGTCAGTGTGAAGCATTTATATCTGACTGTTTGTGTGAAAGTACAAGGCATGTTATGGCTTGTTGTCAATGTCAACAACTGTTGACCCTAAAGAAAGCCACAAACCACAACCTGCAGCTCTGACAAATGTTCTGGAAATGTTGGCCATATAGATAAGCTATTTAAATTTCTAATTATATTCTCTATACACCTTTTGAGTTGTCAAGAAACCCTAAATCTTAATAAATAAAAAAAATGCTGCCAGAGTGTGGGGAGTTTTACTGGACTGCATTATCTTGATAGGTGTTCCTTTAATAAGTGTCAGTAGTGTAAGAGTGCACAGACACTATAGCGGTACAGGATTGTTTTATGTTAAGCGCCTTGTAAATAGTCGGTTTAATTTATCTGTTTTGTTTCCTTGGTTTACATTGGTCTTCTCTTCCCGGGGAAAAATATACAGGAGAGAAACTGTAAATCGTCTCAGGACAAATGTGTTCCTTTGATACTCTGAGAGTGTCGCTCTGCTTCTTCCTCTCTAAAGCTCTCTGAAATGAAGTGTATTGTAGAGGACGGATGTTTTAACAGCCCAACTCTGTGCTGTGCTCTTCCTGCTGAAGTGACTGACAGGCAGAGGGGGTGTTCATCATTTATGACGTGGAGCATCCAATTGGCTGGTGTGCACAGTATTTAAGATGGTTCCTCTGTCCTTCTCAATGTGGCAAATGGCAGCTTATATTTTCTATGTCTACACAAATCAAAAAGATAAATGCATGTTTAAATAAATGGCAACAACAATGTGGTAGGATAAATCCTAGAGACACAGGCCTATACATTTTTGGATGCATTACAAATTATGCATTTATATTGAAATGTTAATGGTATTAGTACCTTTTTTTATAATGAGTATTCAGCTATTCTAAAAAAAAACATGTATTTGATTAATCATTTTACTATCACTAAAATATGGCAGTTAGCAAATGAGAACGGTTTTGATCACTTCCAAGAATCCCTTTCAGGAATCCAGACAAACTTTAAATATATTTGCTACGTCCTTGGAATCTAATCTAATCCCAATTCTGAAAGTGTAAGAGTTAATAATTTGCTACAGAGTGCAGGATCACAGGAAGTTTCAGTTTCAATTCCTTTAGTGTGTATGCTTACACATTTATTAAATAAGTGGCAGTTCTTAAACTGGTTTACTTTGGATACATTCATAATGGACTTTTCTGCATTGTTTCACTACATCCATCAAACACATTTTTTACAGGAGCAACCATTACAAACTGGAGAGATCAAGTTTAAAAGACCTAGGCATATTATATCAGGAAACTTATTTAATAAATGTTGCATTATAGGAGATGTAGGAGTGTTTTTCAAAGTTGCTTAAACTTTGAACATCCTTTTTAAAAATCCGTAACTCCCCAAACTGTTTGGTACTATAATACAAAATAATGGAGCAACCTTTACCTGCAAATGTATCTTCCTTTATTAGCCAGCATACAAATCATTGCTTTCACATTTCTGTGACCAGGAAATTGGCTTTAAGCGTGTTCTTTTTAGCAATGAATCATGTCAAAACCTAACTGCTGGTGCTGTAATGTGTAATGGGGATTGCCCACAGTATTGAGTGTATGTAAGTTGCTTTGGGTAAAAGCGTGACATGTAATAATGTAATGTAATGAACCAGAAAATGCTGATCATATTTTAAACAGCTTTCTTTTTTACAATTGGCGGAATTATGCACATATTATTATAATTATGTTAATGTTGTTCTCTTCTTAAATTAATCCTGTAACACAATTGCTCGATGGTCAAAAGTAAACCCTATGGTAGGTAAAACACATTTAATCACCTTCAAAAGGTGTTTGTTTGCTTAGCTCCTCAGACAGCCTATGTTTGCCACTCATGTGTACATCATACTGGACAGTGGCAATATTGCACCACATCAAAAAAGTCCATCTGAGCATGAAAAGAAAATCAAGATTGCTTTTCGATTGTTCTGTTTTGTGTGTTTACGCTCTGTGCCAGTTAAAGGAAAACAAACATGAAACATAAAAACAGAAGCTTGCTTTTGGTCTTGTTTCATGTGTTTAGGTTGGAACAAAGGGTGATATCATTTCCACTGTGGTGGTACAATGAAATAAGGAGAAGCCAATCAGGTTGCTCTAAAATTGTAACCTCCCACTTCATATGATTACATTAAGGCGAATCTACTCAAATACGATTTAATTTACCGGCAGCCACAAGTGGATTGACCAGAAAATGCTGATCATAGTTTATTTACTGCTGATGCTTGGAGTGGGGCGTAAGTATCTAGACTTGAGATACATTATATGAATTGTCATGTTCTGATAATGATTCAGCTGTGTGCTAATTATTCTTAATGTATCACAAATCAATCATCTGTGTGTTTATTATATTTTTCAGGATGCACACACGATCAGATCTTGGAGACAAACACTGTTAGTCTTGGGGATGATGTGACTTTGACTTGTTCACGCCAGCAATCCTTGGATCCAACAAACATGTTCTGGATCAGGCATGGACCTGGAAACGTCCCTGAAGTCTTGGGAGGAACATATTCTTTTGATTATAATGGTGTTGACAAGACTCCTCGCATTACAGCAAAACAAGGACCTGGAACCTTTCTCCTGCAAATAAGTAAAACAGAGCCAAGCGATACTGGAGTTTACTACTGCCTAAAAGTAAACAAACGTGACATGACATTTCTGAATGTGACATTTCTGAGAGTTAAAGGTAAATCATTTATACTGTTTATCTTTGTTATTACTGTCTGCTACATAACTTAATTGTATTTGACTACTTTCTTAATGTGTTATGTACTAAAGCCCTTTTGTTTGATATGACAGCTTACTATTTTTGTCTTTTATATTTACCCACACATTATAAATTACCTCAGAGGGAAATGTGTGAATGATTTATGATTTCTGAAATGAAATACAGCAAACGTAGATTTCACCTTTCTTTAAAAATGTATCCTTTATCTATATATTTATATTTTCCAGGCCCTGAACCAGATATCACTGCCATTATTCAAGGCCATCAGTCTGATCCAGTCCTTCCAGGAGACTCGGTGACTCTGCAGTGTACAGTCCTCTCTGAATCTCAGAGCAAAACGTGTCCAGGAGAAACCAGAGTGTACTGGTTCAGAGCCGGATCAGATGAATCTCATCCCAGTGTCATTTACACCCATAAAAACAGTGGAGATGATTGTGAGAATAGTCCTGAGGCTAGCTCTCCACGGAAATGTATCTACAACTTCTCTAAAAACATCAACTCCTCTGATGCTGGGACTTATTACTGTGCTGTGGCCACATGTGGGGAGATATTATTTGGACATGGAACAAAACTGGACATTGAAGGTAACTGCAGAGCGTTTATACATCTTTAATAATCATTCATTTTGTATCTTATAAACCAAAATCCAATTGTCATGCATTGTAATACTGTCAAAAAAACTTTACATTTTTCACATTTGCTCCTTTTCTCCATGATTTTAGCACCTAAGATGGGGGATCAGCAGAAGGCCATTGTAGTTCTGCTTCTGTTAGCTGCTGCTTTGGCTATAAGTTTGATTGTTATCGCCTTCCTGATTTATACTATCAAGATGAAAACTTGTGATAGTTGCAACGGTAAAGAAAGTTTCTCATACCTCAATCAATCAGACAGTTATTGGGAAAAGCTCACTTTTTTACGTTAGATTTACATTACAAATTTGTATAATTGTACCTACATCATGTGGCATCAAAAGTATTTTATTTCATAATACAGCTTCTGTTTCTATCCAAACAAATCCCGTACCAGCCAGCGGTGATCAGCAGAGGCAGCAGGTACGGTCAAAAAAAGAAGATGTGACTTAAAAAAAATGTTGACTCATTTTATTTTCTACATGTAAATCATAACTTTTGCCATATCAAACATTTTTCCAGAGAGATGAGGACTCAATAATGTATTCTGCATCCAGCTTCACGAAGAGGAAAACTGGCAGAGCAGACAGGAAGAATAAAAAAGCAGCAGAGGGAGAGATGATCTACACCAATGTCATGTATTCAGTGATGGACTAACAATATACCCGACTTTCTGATTAAAGCTTACTGTTGGGGAAATATGTTCCAAGGCCCATACCTTTGACCCAGTAAGTTTGTACTGCCCTCACTGAGCACAGGCCTGCAACCTTGGGCTGCTGTGCTATCAGTGTTTTGTCTCCCTATTCCTGCCTGTTGGCGTCAGCTGATAGAGGTGTTTTAGTGCTTTGCCTGTTTTATCTTGTTATGCACAATATTGATTACTCTCTCAGAACCAGCTAAATACATGGGTCTGGGGTAGAGATCTTCAGAGTTGGTTTGGCAACCGCTGTGTCACCTCGTGGCGGCGGCACATGTCTTGTCAGTTCTCCGGCCGTAACTCCATAATAAACCATCAGTGTTTGCCATCAAAGTTCCAGCTCACCCAGTGTCTCTCTGAGTTTCGTCTCCATTGCTTCAGAAGTTTCCATCACACTTACAATGTTGTAAATATGTTCCTTCACTTTCAGAAATTGGAGAAATGTTATAACCTGAAAACAAAAAATATATATCATTTTGAAATGATGTCCAATCTGCTTAAAATCATTGTATAACCTTTTTTTTTTATAAATAAAAGTACATTGGTTACATGACGCAAATTGTTATAGCTTTAATGGTGATATTCAACACCTAAATATGTGTGTATCTGTTGGATTAGATTGTGCGCAAACTCTGAGGCATAAATATGGTAAAGCTATTCGCAAATCATTCCTAAAATACACAACATGTCACTCATTTGACCATCAACATTAACCCATGCTGTTAGTTATGTATATATGAAACGTGTATTTCAGCCACAATAGTGGCAAGGGTCTGCCGGTTAGACCACACATTGATCCAGAGTGAAATATCTGGACCAATGTTTCCATAGGATGTATCCTAGTCAGTTTTTTTGATACCCCAATGTTTATCTAGTGCATCGATACGTCGAAGATGTTTGTGTTGTGTGAAATCACTACACTAGGGATTGCAGTGAAATGTGGTACATAGGAAATGGTGACAAAATAAATATATGGCAGGGGCAGTGGCTCAGCTGCTAATATAATGAACAGGAACCGCAACTTACCCATTGCATGTCTGTGTTTTAGCCACCACAACTTTATAAAACATGTCTAAAAATGTACAGCATGAAGAAATGGTGGGGGCCAACTGAAAACCTCCGTCCTTCTAGCCTCTCATCACTTTGTAAAGGCCTTTCATGTCTGGTGTGAGAACAAGCAAAGCCACATGCAACAGCTACACTGACAGACAGGCCCAACGCTGTTTACTCAGAACACACCTGACTATTGGGTTCAAAACTATATGTAGTGAGGGGGAAGTTGAAAGAAATGCTAATTAGTTTTCAATGTGCTCAATAAAAGTACCAAGAGAAAGAGGCTACCATCTACTCTTATGCATCTGAGTACTCTGCTATAAGTGCTGCATTCATTGCGCAGTGGAGCAGATTTTTGTAAATCTTTCAGACAGATTTTTGTTGATTATCCGGCAAACTTAAGTCGGTCAAAAAGACAGTCATGTCATGACTTTACCCTTTACTGAAATGTTTTATTATTCCACTTTCACTTTTAAAATCAGCAGTGCATGCCGAGTTTCCTGAGGCTAAAACAGAGAGTGAGAAAGGCAGAAGCCCCTCTCTGTTGACGCGTTAGTTTGAAGCCAAACCACAACAGTCCCTAAGTTTCCATGCATCATTTGTCTGTCAGTAGAGACTGTGAATGCATGTCAATCTGTTTCTGTCAGCTTGCCAAATGCAGGCAGTGCTGTGCACACAAAGAAAAATGTAGATGGTACAAAGCATATGATTTCACTTGTTAGAAGCAACAGCATTGCTCTGTCAAATTAGAATACTTCAAAAAAGGCTGAGGATCCCAAGTTAAGGTATGCTTTGAGGCTTCTTCTAAGCCTACAATGCTCCAGATATGGCAATGACAAACTTAAATCCCAAGCTCCTCCAACAATGCAACATAATATATATATATAGGACATCAAACGATAAAAACTAATGAAGTGCAAGAAGAAACATTAGAATAGTGCAGATTATGTTGCAAGACCAATGGGCAAGTAATGCTTTTGACGTAAACTATAAACATGTCAGAAATAAATAAAACAATAAACTAGTGCAAAGAATGTTGTAAGTGACCAAGTAAATGCAGGAGTCTATAAACATGTAAAATTAAATAGTGAAAAAATAAAATACTGTTTATTGTGATTAACATTAAGATAAATCAATTGTAAGATGCAGAGAGAAGCATGCTTTAGGTTATGGAGGCACTTAACAGAGCTCAGGCATTAAGCGGTCTTATGGCCTGTGGGATGAAACTGTCCCTTAGTCTGGTTTTAGACCTGATGCTGCGTCACCGCCTGTCAGACGGCAGCAGACAGAACACTTTGTGGCTGGGATGATGGGGGTCTCAGTTTTAGTAATACTTCTAATGCCAGAGTTTGACTGAAATCGGTGTTCCTATTATTCATTAAAAAACACTTAAGGATCTTTAATAAAGTGGTGCGCTGTTCTTGCCTTTCTCTCCACTATGTATAAAGGTGATACAATGTGGTAAGAGCTCTCCTCTGTCTGCTATGTTTGCTACTGGTGACTGACAGGCAGAGTGGGCAGGTTATCACTAGGAGTCCATTATATTCTGCATAAGACAGCTTCTCTATTTTAGTGTAATAGTGTAACAAATACTTTCTAAATGTAGATTAATCAAACTTATCAATTTAAGTCCTATTGTTATGATTCAATTTTTAATATCAGCTGTGTATCTGAGGACTATGTGCCTTTCAGTCAACCTGTTTATTATGCACATCTTTCGATTTGTGTGTGGAAACATTTGAAAAATCTTAAAATATTGCATAAAACAATGTTAAGAAAATACAACAGGCCATGAATCACAAACATATTACTGCTTGCTATCTAGTTGAGGATTTCTGGTGATAACGCCACGCAACAAATACAAACTAATGTAAATATATGGAACAGAAAATGTATTGTGTGATATTGTCTCTTTGGTTTTTCTGTTTGTTTATAATAGTATTTCACAATAACATCAGATCATTTACTGTTTTAACTCTGTGTCAGCAATAGAAACCCAACATGAAAAGTGGGCTGTTGGTTTTGTTTCATGTGTTCAGGCTGCACAAGGCAGTTGATGGTTCATTATATTTCCGCTGTGGTGCTAAAAGGCGACTTAGGAGGCCAATGAGATTGCTCTGAACTGTAACCTCCCACTTGATATGATGACATTATAGTGAATCATTTTTAATGCGTGTCAAAATTGCACCAGTCTCAAGTGGAATAAACAGAAAATGAGGATCGTATTTTATTTACTGCTGATGCTAACAGTGGGACGTAAGTACATGTAAAATGTCCTATTGATTTTCAGATGTGTGTGTCCATGTTTTTACAATAATTGAGAGAGCTCATTTTTTCTCTGTGGTTAATGTAAAATGTATTTTCAGGATGCACAAAAAAAAAAAACTTTGAGACAAAGACTGTTGGTGTTGGAGTTTCTGTGGAGCTGACTTGTCCCCGCAAGTCTTCGGGAAGCTTGTTTTGGATCAAGATTGATTCTAGAGACTTTCCTGAAGTCTTAAGAAAGACATTTAGCCTTAAGAGTAATGATCGCATCACAGCTAGAGAAGAGCGTGAACTATTTGTTCTACATATTAAAGAAGCAAAGCTAAGTGATGCTGCGGTCTACTACTGTATTCAAATAAGCCAACAGAACTTCGAATTCCTCACACAAACTGACCTAAGAGTTAAAGGTAAATACACTTCTTATTTCATTACAGCCAGTTAGTTAGTAACGCATTACAATTCCTGTTTCATGTACTTGAGTTTCTTTTTCCATATAAACAACAAGAATGTAAAAATTGTTCATTGTCAGTATCATTTTTACTCTTAAGTAGATTTGCAAAGAAATGTATGCACTTCTATTCTGCAACATTGGGACACACTTTTTGAACTACTATTACTTAGTTAACTATAATTAATCTTTATGTGAACTTGAGCTCAAATTGACGACACTGATTGAATGACAGCAAGAAATAAGAGAGCCAGTGAAACAATAAATTGCAACTAAGGAAGTATCTTTAATGAGATACTTGTAATCTCACTCAAGGAATTTGTATTTGAGTCAGTATAATTATGAAGTAATAATACATATACTTGAATGCCAATTTATTTACCTAATACTGATTGCAGCTTTGTTTTAAAAATGATCGTATTTCTATCTAACTGAAACGACATTTCCCAGAACCTGAAAGCACTGCAGTTTCTCCAACTGATCCAGTCCGTCCTGGAGACTCTGTGACTCTGCAGTGTTCAATACTCTCCAACTCCGGGAACAAAACACGACCAGAGGAACAACATCTGTGCTGTTTCAAGGCTTTTAATCAAAGTTTGAATAATACTCGAGGAAACGTTGTTGAAGTACATGAAAAGGAATCAGGTGGACCCTCAAAGAAGAAATGTGTCTACAGCTTATACAAGACATGTGACTGCGATGTGGCCACATGTGAGGACATCATTTCTGGAAATAGATCAGAACTCAACACTACAGGTAACTGCATCATATTTAACTTGAATTAGTAATGTAGCATATGAGATTGATTAAAGGTGGGGTAGGTTTGAGTAAGTTTGAGAAACCGGCTCGAGATCGCTAGAATTTGAAAATACACAACCGGAGAAAATGATTGGTCGTACTTTTTACAGTATTACGGCTTCCACAGATGACATTTTTTTATGGATTTTTTGTCAAAGCACTTAAGATATTCATTGCTATCGGGATGTTAAGAGCATTCCATGGAATATAACAAAAAGTGTATCTCGAGCCGGTTTCTCAAACTTACCTACCCCACCTTTAAGGTCAAGTAATGGTCCATAACATAATCACTTAGAAATTGCTCTTAATTTCACAAATGTTAATGTTCATTATCTTCTTTTTTCCCCACATTGTGTCAGCAGACTTCATGTTGAATCAGCAGCAGAAGAACAATACCATCATCTCTCTGTTAGGTGCTGCTTTGGCTATATGTGTGATTGTTAATGCCTTTCTCATTTATGCAATCAAGAAACTGAAGGGGAAATCCTGTGGTGTTTGCAACAGTAAGTACATTCACTGATACAAATATATATCAAACATATTTGGCAAAAGTAGCTTCACATGAATCTTTTATTTTTATATAATACAGCTGCTGTTACTCTGCATACAAATGAAACAACAGCGGGTCAAAATCAGCGAGGTCAGCAGGTAGAGTAAAAGACAAGCCTGTAAAGTTGTTAGCATAGTTTTTCCTCTAAAAATGTTGTCTCATAACATTTCCCTATATATTTTCACAGACAGATGATGACTCGTTGATTTATTCTGCACCAACCTTCATCAGAAGGAAATCTAGCAAAGGGACTGGGGGTGCAAAAGCAATGAAAGAAGAGTGTATCTACACTGATGCCCGGGCTCTTAGGTTGGCTTGATGGTGTAATACTGGATTTGCTAATCTTTGCAGATGCAATATTTATTTTCATTCTGTTCAAGAAAGGTACTAGCCCCTAATGTCATTAATCCAATTAATATATTGGATTGTACTGTATGTATATGTTTTGCACACATGAGTAATCTTCATGACACAAAAGTAATATAAAAGCTACTGTAAGCTTGTGTAGATAGACATACTGTACACTGTAGGGATACATATTTGTTTCATTGTGAGTTATCAAAGTTGTGAACAACAACTTGCATCATACAGTTTCAAGTCATACATTTACATTTTCCAAATCTGTGTACTGTCTGTGTCAATGCTATGTAAAGATAATTGTGTGTTGCTTTTTTCCTAATAAATAATTGAATTTTCACAAGAGATACCAAACTGATAAGCAATTGAACCTGCTGCTCTGCTCACACATACAGATACAGCTCAGATTTATGAACATACTGCACATGTTTAACCACCCCCCACCCCCCCTTAGTTATTACCTAAACAAGCTCGGCATTATACTTTTGCTCACATAGGTCAACCAAACTCAGGTCAAAGTTCATTAAATGTGTACATATCTTTTTAACATCATATAGCCTACATCCATTGAACACACAAAATACCCAATAATCCAGAAGGCTTGCATAAAAACTGTTTTTCCATAGTGATGTCAATATGGGTTAAGACTAAAAAGTAAATTATATATATTTATATACCTATTTACTGCTTTACAAATTGTATGCAGTAATTCTTTTTCAGATACGCTGGTTCCAGTGACCACAGTTGAACTTGGTAATCTGCGACCGTCACCTGTGCTACGCTTAATTTTGAGAGTCAGCGTAAACAGCTCCACTACAAGCAGAGTGCAGAAGAGCCAATACTTCATAACAGAATAATGACCCAATCAAGTGATGTATCTCAATTTGCGTACTTCTGTAGTTGAATTTTCAGTTTGAGTGCATAACAGCGTCCCAAAGTGTATGTGCTATGCGTACCTGAATCTTGCACTCATAACACTGTTGAACTGTGGACACATCTCTCACTGGAACACTATGCCAAAAAAATTGAAACTGAGCATTTTGATTCCCTTGCATCATTTTAAAACACGGCTGGATGAAATGTTATTAGATACCTGTCATTGTGAATAGGTTGCTAATTTATACCCCTGTAATTATGTTGTGATGTCCTTTTTGTTTTCTGTTGTTTTTATGTGTAACCAATGTACCGCAGGTCTCCCTTGAAAAAGAGATCGTTGATCTCAATGGGATTTTTCACCTGGTTAAATAAAGGCTACAAACAAACTAATCCCTATCGGCTTACTTCAGACGCTATTGCTGTTGCTCCGGTGAACACCACATCATATAAATAAGTTAAAAGTTTTTAATGTTTCATCAAAGTTCAACATATGTTTTTATTTTTTAAAAGGTTATGCTTTGAGCTGGAAACATTAATTCAATAGAAAGGAGAATAGAGTGGTGCAGAGATGTCAGTTTTGTGGGCCGACCCAGAAGGTAGCAGGGCAAGGGATCCCTCGACAAAAATAAATTGTATTTTTCCATTTGATTTTGGAGTATTTTTGAAAATAGGATCTGTTTATGACAATTGAAAGTTCCGTTCAGCAAGATAATCTTTACATAATGTTTATCATTTTTTCTATTATTTTTGAGGCATAAATGCAATGAGCAGAAGTAAAAAGCTTACAATAGGTGATAAACGAACTACATTACATTCACATGGCTGGGCGTCACCACCGCTTTACTCAAGGCTCACTCGTGTTTGGCATGATGACGTTGAGTAGTCTCATTTAGTCAGTTATCATTAAAGCCGGTTTTATGACACGTAGAAGCTGCAGTCGTTCTCAAGTGCTGCATTTACTGACATATTTTATTTAATTAATTAAGGCCTCTCACTAAAAGCCACTGACTTTAAGACGAGAGAACCGGAAGTGGTTAAGTACTTACTAGGGATGTAACGATACCAAAAACTCACGGTGCGATAATATCGATATTGAAAAATAAATTTTAAAAAAAAGATTTAAAGATTTTTATTTTTTTTAATGATTTTTAAATTTAAACTATTTTTATCTGACATTTTTTTCTTTATTAAATAATAAATCAGATTTGTACAGCATTTTTGTAGGATAGTAGTATTTTAAAGTGTCAAAAACAAAGTGACAGTAACAGACTGGAACAAGAACTAGTACTACCAAACAAAGCAGGCATTTTCTTTGTGCCACTGCATCTCACAAATAAACAAGACCATTTAATAATCAGACCCTGCAATAAAATAAATCAAGTTTCACTTTAGTTTTTCAAGTAACTCAAACTCAAACTCACTCACTCAGCATCATCAGACAGGTTTTTTTTTTTTAGGAATATGAGCATGTCCACATTTCCAGGTAGAAGCTGGGATGTTTGGGCATTTACAATATCCCCTGCTGTGGAAAAAACTCTCTCGCTTGGTACTGATGTTGCTGGGACAGCAGTGGTCGCGTTAACCGAATATTTTTTTTTAACAATGACAGAAAGATCTGAAAGCAGTCTGTCATTTTGACAGATTAGAACAAACTCGGAACAGCGCCAAAGTTTCCCCGCAGCGAGGCTCTGGTGTTTGCCTTGTTATGCATGCCCTCCAAAAGGAAATTATATAGTTTCCAAACTGTACTTTGCCGTACAGATCATTGAAATGTCTGGGAGTTTTTGCTTTACGCTGTGCGCGCTCCCGCGAGGTGCATGCATGTCTCGGTGGGCATGCATAACACGGAATAACACCGCCCCCCCCGTTGACAGTTCACGAGCGTGCTCTCTCTCTCCCCCCCCCCCCGTGTCAGCGCGACACGTTAGTGGCCAGTTCAGACCCGACCGGTAATAATGGATTATGACGGAAATGTTACGATCCTGTCTGTCAAAAATGACTGACAGCGGAAAAAGTCTAACGCCACCTCACAGGTCTCCCTTGAAAAAGAGATTGATGATCTCAATGGGATCACCTGGTTAAATAAAGGTTAAAAAAAAAAAGATTAAAAAAAAAAAATGAAAAATCGCGGTAGATTTTGTCAGTCTCACGACGGTATTGAGACGTTTATTTTTGTATTACTTCTGTATAGATGAACCCACAATATAGGGCAATAAAATGTTCACATCGTGAGGTGACACAGAATCTAACGACACCAACAGTACCACTGAATTATACGTATTTGCGACGTTATAAGCAAAAACGGACATCAAAATAGGTGACGCTAGGTAGCTAAAAATGCTAACATTTTTACCTTGGCTCTGTAGTCTCTCCAAAGTGGTTTTCAATGGCATTAAAACGATAAAAACGCTGCTGAAGTTAATCCATAGGTTAATCTTGTTACGATATCCGATAGGACCCAAACGCAGGACACGGCAGAGTGTTGGAAAAAGGTTTATTGTGAGGTGGAGGAGCGTGGAGAGTAATCCGGTTGGAATGATGACTGGTGGCGGCAGGTGATGGTAACAAGGCGGCTGGATAGTGATCCTGGAGCATAAGAGAAACAGATGAGAAAAGTATTCCGTGTACAGAGAAATAGTTTTAAATCGGCTAAGAAGGCTGAGAGTTACCACTGGGGTTTAAACAACGATCTGGCGCTGACATGTTGTGGAGCCTCCGCTGATATACCATTAGTAAATGGCTGAATGGGAATCAGGTGTGTAAAGCTGATTGCACCAGGTGGAGATTTGCAGCAGGTGGAGATTGAGCCGGGAGCCAGGAGTGACAGCCACCACGCCCACACAGACAGGGAAAGGGAACACACACTCACAAGGGAGGTGGCTGAAGAGTAGAGCCACCACAGTACCCCCCTCTTAAGGGACGCCTCCAGGCGGTCTACCAGGTCTACCAGGTCTACCAGGGTTATCCCGGTGGAAGTCCCGAACCAGGGACGCGCCCACGATGTTTCGCCGGGGAACCCAAGACCTCTCCTCTGGACCATAGCCCTCCCAATCCACAAAATATTGGAATCCCCTTCCACGGCGACGAACGTCCAACAATCGCCTGACGGTGTAGGTTGGGTGATCATTGATGATGCGGGGGGGTGGGGGAACACTCACTGGAGGAGACAAGGGGCTGCTGGCAACAGGTTTTAACAGAGAAACATGAAATGTCGGATGAACCTTCATGTGTGGGGGAAGCTTGAGTTTTACTGCAGATGGGTTGATAACTGAGTCGATGATGAAGGGGCCGACATAACGTGGCGTGAGTTTCTTCGACTCTGTCTTGAGTGGGAGATCTTTGGAGGAAAGCCAAACACTCTGACCTGGTAAGTAGTTGGGAGCCGGGGTCCTGTGGCGGTCTGCGATGAGGCAGTTGCGGGCAGCGGAGCGGAGCAGGGCGGCTCGGGTATCCCTCCACACCTTATGACAGCGACGAAGGTGGGTCTGAACGGAAGGAACAGCAACCTCCTCTTCCTGGGATGGAAACAGGGGTGGTTGGAAACCCATGGCACAATGAAAGGGTGAAATACCTGTGGCTGCATTTGGCAGGGAGTTGTGGGCATATTCGATCCATGGCAGATGTGGGCACCATGACGAAGGGTTCCTGAAAGCCACACAGCGAAGAGCCGCCCCCAGATCCTGGTTGGCCCGTTCCGTTTGCCCGTTCGTCTGAGGATGATATCCAGATGACAGGCTCACTGATGCTCCCAGAGCCTGACAGAAGGCTTTCCAAACGTGGGAAATGAACTGGGGACCCCGGTCAGAGACGATGTCGGTGGGAATCCCATGGAGTCGAACAACATGATTGACCAGAAGATCTGCAGTCTCTCGGGCTGTGGGAAGCTTGGGAAGAGCAACAAAGTGTACCATCTTGGAAAATCTGTCCACAATAGTTAGGATGATGGTATTTCCTTGTGACAGTGGAAGTCCAGTGACAAAATCCAAGGCCACATGCGACCAAGGACGCCTAGGTACCGGCAGCGGCCGAAGCAGGCCAGAGGGAGATTGGTGGGAGGACTTGGCGCGGGCACATACTGTACAGGCAGCAACAAAGGCCCTGGTGTCTTGAGCCATGGAAGGCCACCAGAACCGTTGTTTTAGAATAAACAGTGTGCGATGGACACCAGGATGACAGGAGAGACGGGAGGCGTGTGCCCACTGCAGGACCTTGGAGCGAACAGGGGTAGGCACAAAAAGACTATTAGCTGGGCAGTTACCTGGGTTAGGTTGCGCCCGCTGAGCCTCCTTAACCAATGACTCAATCTCCCAGGTAACAGCCGCCACCACGCAGGAGGCAGGCAGGATAGTGTCTGGATTGGCAGCTGGTCCTTCGGAAGCGAACTGGCGAGAGAGAGCGTCCGGCTTGAGGTTCCGTGACCCTGGACGGTAGGTAAGGGTGAATGAGAAGCGGCCGAAATACAGGGCCCATCGAGCCTGACGAGAGTTAAGGCGCTTGGCAGATTGGATGTACGCCAAGTTTTTGTGGTCTGTCCATACAATAAAAGGGAGCTCGGCTCCCTCCAGCCAGTGCCTCCACTCCTCTAGGGCAAGTTTGACAGCCAGCAGCTCTCTGTTACCCACGTCATAGTTCTTCTCAGCTGGAGTGAGGCGGCGAGAGAAAAATGCACATGGATGTAATTTTTGGTCTCGTTCCGAGCGCTGGGAAAGAACTGCCCCTACCCCGGTGTTGGAGGCATCGACCTCCACCACAAACTGGCGAGAGGAATCAGGGTGGATGAGCACAGGGGCAGTGGTGAAAAGTCTCTTTAGCTCCGAGAAGGCTGCATCGCACTCTGGAGTCCAGAAAAAACCAGTTGTAGGGGAAGTGAGTCTGGTTAAAGGGCCCGCCACTCTGCTGTAGTCTCTGATGAAGCGCCGATAAAAATTGGCGAAACCAAGAAACTGTTGAAGCAGTTTAACTGAGGTTGGTTTGGGCCACCCCGCCACCGCTTGGATCTTCTCAGGGTCGGTCCTAATCTTTCCTTCCTCAACGATGTAGCCCAGGAATGAGACTGTGTTGACATGGAATTCGCATTTCTCCGCCTTCACAAAGAGTCTGTTTTCAAGGAGTCTCTGCAGCACCTGCCTGACATGGATAATGTGCTCCTCCTTGTTACGGGAGAAAATGAGAATGTCATCCAAGTAGACAAAGACTGACCGGTTGAGGAGGTCA